CAGACACCACCCGCACTCTCCTCCGCCCAAGTTGCATTTGCCTCCAAATATGTGGCGTGTTTGTACTCGGGGGAAAAATAAACTATGTTGGATAAATTCCCGCTCATTTAATAATCGTAATATTAAAAGTATTATTCAAAGTAATATGACGATTGTTTAGCTGGGAAAAAACGTCACCGAGTCTCGAGACTCAATTTCAGGAGAATCCTGCATTTGGATGTTTGGGCAAAGCCATGAACGGGAGGAAATGGAGAGCAACCAGAGAAAACTGACGACAAATACGAGGAAAGTTTCAAGAATTTAGACAAGCCAAAAAACCCACCTCACCACACATTGTATTGCATGCGCTGAAGATATCTATCAGACATAAAATTTTTTAAATTGTCTAACTTTTCCTGTGAAATTCGAACTGCAACATGCGTTCAGTAAATATCATGACAGTTTCAAAACTGATTTTTGGACAGCGTCGTTGCACCGATCATTTGCATGGGGAGACAAACGCGTTCAATTATGAATACTCGATGGCACCGGTGTTGAGAATCTCTTATTGTGCTCTTCCATCAAAACTGACATTCCCTGATCTTGCAGTTTTTGGGAAGCTTTACTTTGCCATTGCGTGCACGCATTTCTGCTCCCCCCACCCCCACGCTCCCCCGACAATCTGAACGAAGCAGTCGTCTCCATCCATCCTCTCCACCCACCCATCCCTCCCTCCCTCTCTCCCTCCCCCTACCTACCACCGCCTTCTATGAGGCCCAGTCCCCGGCACTGCATGCTCAGCCTTGCTCAGATAAGACGACGTGCTGGAGGCAGATAGCCCTGACGCCAGCCTTAATGGGGGCTGCTGAAGGTTTATGGTAATGGGAGTCTGTTTGAAGTGGAGGAAGCCTCTCTCTCCTAAGAGGATGGGGGAGGGGTGTGGTAGGTGGTGGGGGGGAGGAATTTGAAGCGGGGAATGTGGGTGGGTGTGGGGCGGTAGCATTATAGAAAATTGCCTTCATTTTCTCCAGTAGGCGGCTTGTTTTATGTCGTTATTATTTTTTGGGACTTTGTTTCGTGTTGTAGTTGCTGCTGCTGCTGTTACGGCGGCGGCGTATATAAAAGCAGAAAGAAGCATGCAATGACCAAGCGTGCGTGCATCCTGCTATGATGGCGTATTGGCATATGACTAGCGCACGACTTTTGTAGGTTTTGTTTGTGGATCGCGAAAAGATAATTGTAATAGACGCCCACCTTGCAGGGATACAGAGCAGCCAGCGTGTGGCAGTGCAGCAAGTAGGTTACCACCCTATGTACCGTACGTAGCCAACCGTGCTAATCGGAGGTGCGGGGGAAGGACAACAAACTAAACACAAAATGCAGTTCTAAGGAAATGAGTTTTAAATCTTGATGATTTGAAAGTGCACAGCTCCAATGGCTTCCTAATATCGGAAGGAAGAGCGTTCCAGATGGCCACAGAAGCGCATCTGAAAGCACGCGATGCAGTGAGCTTCTTTGTTCGATGGTTTAACCAAAAACGTTAACTATCTGCATAGTTAACGTTTGGCGGTTGTCGCCTTCTTGTATGCGCGAGTTGTCTCGGGGCAATTTCACAGTGTAACCCCACGCGCAACCAATCTCAAAAAATGAACGTTGTCCACCGAGGCTTTCCCGACTTGCGGGTGTTCAAAGGCACGATCGTGGCCGTGAGCGTGCCGGACCGAGCCGGTGTCGATCCGTGGCGTCGCTCGCAGCAGTTCGAGCGCAAACAACGCCCAGGCGGAGTAGAAGCCATGCGCTCCCAACCAAACGCACGCAAGATGGATGCTCGCGTGCCTGCTCGCAGAGCTGAGAGTTAAAGTTCAAGCTACTGGCTGTGGTCGACTGCCGAACAAAAGGGACGGAAAGTAAATAAGGGGAAGAAGATGCTTCTCTCTTTCGGTCTTTCTCGCTCCTTCCTCCCCTCCCACTCTCTCTCTCTCTCGGTTCTGGAGAAGAAGCCCCTTTTCAAAACAAGTGGGAGGGAAGCAGCAATAAATGTTACTCCTCTACAATCTCCTAACGGCTACTTTGATGATCTCCTTGAGTCTGCCTCTGGGCTACAGCCGGCAGTTACAGTGTGTGTTTATGCCCCCCTTACTTACAGGCAATTAATGGCAATTACTGGGGTTTATGGCAGCTGCTCCTGGGTAAACAAATGCTTGGGTCTAATGGCAGCCCAGAATGTGTCTCTCGCTTTCCAGTCGAGAGACATTTCTAATTTACAGCGTATGTTTTCGCGGTTGTTCGGTGTGGCTCTCCTTTGGTGCTTTCGGTTTGTTGATCTCGGTCTTAGACCGGTCTCAGGTATCCGCAAAGGCAGTCTACAATATCTGCACAACGGCCGTCATGGCTTTAGAGGCCACAGTTTTTAAACCGAGTGCAGCAAAGGCGTAAAAATAACCGGACCAAGAAGCGGCTTCTCTTAAGCGCACCGCTAATGCATAACGAACCACGTAGAGACACAAACATTATTTAGGCGCAGTGGCGAGGGCTGCAATAATGCATATCTGCCGCTGAATGGGAGAACTTTACATTTCCTATGAAACACAGCTCGCGTGCAGATTGCAGACGCTAGATAACTGCTCCGACTCAGTTTGGGCAGTGGAGCGTAAAGTGGCAGCCAGATAAGACTTGAAAAAATGGGCTTGCTCTGTAGGGGTGGGTGCGTGTGTGGGATGGCCCTGGCGGGAGCAATGTTTTTTTGTTTATGGACTTTGAAAAAACATAAAATGTGGTGAATCGGACATTGGGTTACAAGAGTGATACGTTGCTGGTTTTGTGTGGATCCAGCGCTTTGATAACTGCAGATGAGACCTGCAGCACTGTCAGAGTACTCCAGTAAAAAGTATTTGTTTAAAAGTGCAGCCCTGCGATTGCGTTTCCCGTGCCGCTGCTGGCGAAAGGGCTCCTCATCTACAGAGAGTTCTAGAGAGCCTTTCTCGAGAGGAGGCTATATTGGCCTACTCTTCCACACTGACCAGGCACGATACATTACCCCACAACAAACGACCTGCCTATTGGCTAAACTGAGGTGTAACCATTTCTATTGCTGGGTGGACAGAGGGCGGGGAAAGATTTCAGAAACTTGCCCCATTGTTTCAACTTGTCGCACCAGTGGATGGAATCGAACTGGCAACCTCTGGCTTGTAGGTTCAGTGTGAAAACCATTGCACCACTCGCTATGGCAGCATCCCAATACGACAGTGCTGCGTGGAAAACCCAAGCAAAAAACGATGCGATAGTAGGCATCGCTTTGGCGAGGCTCTCAAACGTCAGGAACTGCTGCTGCCAATAATCCATTTTAACCATGTGTGGGAGAGGTGAACATACGGGAGGCCCCTTTCGTATGGAGCCGTTGTAGCACAAGCAGCAGTATTGTTGGTGGGCTTTTTTTTTCTCAGGATATTCCTCAAGGTTTTATAAGTTATCAGTAGTTTCACGGCTGCAGCTTGAACAAAACAAGTACCGTGCTGAATCGTTTTGCTGTCCATGTCCTGGTGAGCAGCAGGGGGCAGTGCAGAAAAATCCACTGTTGGACACATCCACACTTCCACGTCTATGCCTCCCACTGGGTCCAACCCGCATCCACCAGCGTGGTGAATCGTGGTAAAATAGCCCCCATGACCCGCAGGGCGTAGGAAGGAGGGCCTCATCCAGCAGTGGATTGACATAATGGATATGCACGTAGGAAAAAAAAATCCGCAAAAACGAAAACAGCATGCGCTGAGGCACTTAACACAATCGTATATTTCGTTTTTTTAATATATAGCTTCATTATGCAACTAAATCACACAACGCCCCGCAATCCGCAAACATGGAGGCGATTATGTATATCTCAAGATGTTTTCAGTGAACGAGTGTTTATATTTGTGGGAGGAAACCGGAGCAGCCGAACCACGCGTGTGAGGGGGCAACACCCTATCCCATACAGATGGGACAGATGATATCAGTCCGCACTTTCCTCTGGCGAGCCAAGATATGGCACCTGGACGCCCATCGGGAAAGGAGTTTCACAACATTTGTGTGATTCACCAACCTTTCACAGTGCTGGATTATAAGGCGACCTTGGAAGTGGACAGTAAACAAAACATCATCCCAAGTTCACATCTCGGGCCCCTGCATACTGGCCCTATTGTTTCAAAGTGAAAATGAAGACTTTGCATTTAAAATAATTCAGACATTTATTTGCTGTTCTCAGGGCGAGCATTGTCAATTACTCCTCTCCGTGCGCCTCCGTTCCCCCTCGCTTCTGGGAAATTGGTTTGGTCCAATTGGCTGAGGAGGAGGCTGGGGTATGGCAGTGGTTGGAGGGGGGGTGGGGAGAGCAGCAGAATATGGTACAGCCTAAGCTTTGGGTGAGTTAATGAGGTTTGATGGGTTGAAAGGCCAGGGTCAAAGGTTAAAGAAGTTGCAGGTTTACCGTTATTGAAAATGGCTCCTTTGGAAAGAACGAAAGAATATAAAGGGATCCTGCAGAAGGATTTTTTTTCTCTTCCGCTTCGCGAGCAACGTAATCTCTCTTCTGCGGCCCCTGCTTCGCTGCTCACAGCCTATCGCCAGAGTTGAGTTGAGCAACAGCTCGAGCGTGTCCCAAATTGCCGACATCGCCGTTTAAGAGTTGCGTGTGTCTGAGCGGGCCGCGCCAGCGTCTTGCTTGCCTAGATTGTAGGCAATTTTGGGATAATGATTACACAGGGCCTCTCGCCACACGGATTTGGTGGGGGGGGGGGAGTGAGGTCCTGGGGGGGGGGGGAGGGCGGTCTGTTGATTATAATTGCCGCTCAGCAGGTGTGTGCGGGCGCAATCGGAATTTTTTTTGGTCGCGGCCAAATCAAACTTTGGGTCTTCGCTTTTTTGTCTTAAAGCATGCCCCCCTTTTTTGTCGTCGGGCGACACGTTCTGTTCCTAACGCGAGTCCCCCTTCGCCGCCAAGCCGTTCCGGACGTAGGTTAACCCCATTGCACAATTTGCGTCGGCAGGCACATTCCTGCCCCCGGACGTCCAGAAAGCCAAGCCGTGGTGCACGCTCGCCTACTGGGAGTACAAGAAGCGCCTGGGCCCGCTGCACCACGTTTGCCGCGACACGGTCGGCGTCTACTACGAACTACCTCACCAGGCCTCGCCCGGCAAGGGCAGCGGCGCCGCGGACGCCGGCGAAGACCTGTGCCTCAAGTCGCTGCCGCTGGGGAGCGGCGGCGGCGTCGGCGGCCAGACGGCGCAGCGGAGTCGAGCGCGCGTCGGCGCCGGGCTGCTCGTCAGCTGCGAGCCGGACGGCGTGTGGGCCTACAACCGTGGCGAGCTGCCCGTGTTCGTCAACTCCATGACGCTGGACACGACGGTGGGCCGCGCGCCCGTGTCCCACCGCCTGCCCACGGGACACTCCGTCAAGATCTTCGACCCCGAGCAGGCGCGCTCGATGCAGCGCGCGCTCGCGAGGCTGGCGCAGGGCGAGCGGCCGCGGGACCTGTACAGCGTGCGCATCAGCTTCGGCAAGGGCTGGGGGCGGGACTACTCCCGCCAGTGCGTGCTGGACTGCCCCTGCTGGCTGGAGCTGTTTTTCTATAGATGACGGGACCCTTGAGAGAATGGAAAGTAAATATAAAGTATATATTTATATCACACGTATAAGACAAGAATACAAATACAAACGACGACGACGACAACAACAACAGCAGCTTACTTGCGACAGCGGAGGATTTGACATTTCTGCCTTTTTTGGGAAACTTGTGGTGTTTTTTGCGCGTCCCAGCTGCTGCGCGGCACGTCTTGAATGGGGGTCGGCTCGACTGCAGCGTGCGCGCCTGCATCGTCGAGACTGTGCTCTGAACGAATTGGCTTCGAGCACACACGAGCCAATGTAAGTCTGTGTGAATGGCCGCAGGCTGAGTGTTTTAGTACTTAATTGGCATCCAGTTACATTTCAACATCCGAAACGCTTCAGACGCATTAGGTGCTCACGTCGTGTATACAATCCCTCAGTGTGCCCGCACTTACGAAACCGATACGTTTTTGCATCATTGGGAAGATTTGTCCCTCTGGTGGAGGCCCTTCTGCTGGCAGTCGCATTAGCTAGAAAGTGCAGGGCTCCGTCCAGAGCCATCCCTAGGGTACGGCGAATCGGGGCGACTGCCCCGGCCCCCGCGCTTTGGGGGACCCCGCGCTTCGACGTCACGGTGGCGGATGTAATGCCTCCAGTTTAGTTTGAAGGCGTTGTCGGGTAGCCCACGCGGTGTGATTTGCCTCGGGCCCGTGCACCCCCCTGGGGACGGCCCTGGCTCCACCTCTACCTTTGTTACTGAAAATATTTGGTCGGTCCAGTTCACCAATTGGTTGACACTTGAGCAGCTTTTGGCCGAAAAACAGCGTTGGCCGCAAAGTGCCGTTGGCTAACATAGCTCCGGTGTTTGTTTGTTTTCTCACCGGTTGTTTGTCGTCGCTATTTCTTTCCTGGCATTTCACACAACATTCCCGCAAAATGGCAGCGATTGCAAACTCTTCGTCGAGACGTGTGTACACTTCTCTATTTTTTGTGTAATACCAGCAGACAAATGTGAACTGCGGTGTGCGTCCATTGCGTAGAGCCAGGTGCTGGCCTACTCGTCGACAAGCCCCCATGCACGTGATGGACTGAGCTTGTTTTTGTGAACCACAATCGACAAACGTCAAAAGTGCTCGGTGGTGGTAAATAGCAAAAAATTGAATTGACATTTGGGTTCAGTGTTTCAGTCAACACCTGAATAACAAAACAGAGAGCAGAGAACCGACTGTCGGACGTTCGCAACACTGAGGAGTGGCCTGGCCTGTCTGATCTAATGCAGCCCACGTGATTTAGATAGGAAAATGAAATACTTAAAATGATAATTCATGGCCCTTTTGTCAATCCACTGCTGGCTGAAGGCCTCCACATGCCGTGTCGGTCATGGGGTGTTGTTTGACCATTCTCCATCACGTGGGTCAGCACACGGGTTGGTTCATATGTTTGCTGCTGGTGTTAGCCTTGACGGAAGATCAAACTCGGGCTGCCGGGTTCATTCTCAGTGCTATGAATCACCGCGCCTACCCTCTCATTCGAGAGGTGTTTCTGGAGAAAAAACTCGATAACCCACAAATCTCATTGTTCAAAATGTAAGAGCCCATTGGCAGTAGACGGGTTGATTGGATAAGTGAATTAAGTTAATTGTGCTGCCATCTGTATGGAGAAGGTACAATCAAAATGTATTGTATTTTTTACATTGAAATTAGCGTGAATTATCTAAAAAATGTATAAATGTGAGTTATCAACTTTTTACATGGTTCCGTAATTAACTTTAATAAATGATGAATCCAAACTGCGTTGATAGCTGCTGATGTTGATCTCGGCTGGCCCATTTTAAAACTAAATAAGAAGCGGACTGAGAATTGACCCTTGAACTAAATTCCTGCCATTTGGCCCACGAACACTGAAGACAATTTACACGTAATGTCCATTAGAGCATTCGAAATAGGTGTGGAACACTGCCCAGTAACGGGGTTTCAAGGCCTTGGTTTATTGGCCACCTGCATCATCATTCGCTTCGATCGAGTTTTGTTTTGAGCTTCGCACATTTCTCGAGAGATGCGTCGACGATAAACTCTGGGTCCTCGTTTCCCCAGCAGCCCACGCTCGCCGACTAAACACAATCACTGTACAACCACAGAGCTTTCAAGATTCTTATCTGCCTCCACAGAGTCGATTGATATTTTATATACAACACTATATGAATATATATATTGTAATACCTGTAAATATGGAGACGTTTTGTATTTGTACAGTGTAATTATTTATGTACAGTGCAATGCATACGGACAGACGAAAATGTATTATTGTAAATGCACTTTGTTGAAACTTTTAAAAGCTTGATTAAAACCATAAGTGAGTTTTCAATTGATCTCTTGGCGTTTCTGTGCTCTTTTCTTTGATAACACTACTCGCAAATTTGGGGCAAATTTAACAGTAGAATTCACACTGGTCTCAGACCTTAAATGAGCAAGGCAAACAGCCTCTCGTTTGGTAAAGCTGAAGCCCTGCAATTCCTTGCTTACTCCACTGCTGGCTGGAAGGACCTCCTCTAGAGGCAGCTGAAAAGAAGGCCCTCTACCCTTCTCATGCATGGCCACACATTGAAAGAGGTGGAGGCACCCATACTTTACTCCCACCATGCACCGCGACCTACACAATTCACTCACCTTGGTGCCCCCATCTGTGCTACTGGGGGGTGGGGGGGGGTTAAGAAACCTGCCCCATTGCCTTCATTTAACAGCTTCAGACCCCGGCTGTGCTTCCTCCATTTGAACCCACGGTTTGAGAATTCTTCTCTTCACTCATTAAGTCGAGACAATGATGATCGCTGGGTTACTGGGATTTTTTCTGAGCTTTTGGTAAACACCTGAAGATGCTGGTTTTAAAACGACGAATATATATTATAAATCGTTACATATTTGCTCGCTTTTAAACATTCCTCCGGTGTTGCGAAAAGAAAAAAACGAAACAATTGGCATATTTGCCCATAACGTGATAACGTCATTTTATTGGCTCTGTCGGGTGGTGGAGGGTTATGGTTGGAAATTTGCATTATACCCGCAACCGTCAGCATTGCATTGTTACTTCACATTGCCCACTGTGGAGCGATTTCTCTCTTAACTGCCACTCACGGCATCGCGTGCTGTGATTTGCGCATCATATTCGCGGAGCTTGTGCCAGGCTAGGTGCACTTTTACCATAATAAAGACGGCTCTCCCGTATAGTCTACAAAGCTTTGTGGGGCAAGTGCTGTGTTTAGCAAGCACCTATGAAGACCGATGCGGTGGTCGTAAATTGTGGCCAGTATCACGCCGGGCCACCTCGGTCTCCCACACTGCACCAGGTGCTCAGGTGACCATTCATCTGGGACTTGAGCAGGATTCCAACTCAGGTGGCCAGGTTCGTAGCGCAGTGCAACTGACCGCTGCACTACCCATCCCCAATACAAAGGAAAACGATCCCCCGTATTGCTTTTTACAGCGTGTTGGGCCAAGTGCTGTTAGCAACCACCTATGGTGGCCGACACGGCATGTATGTAGCCCTACACCACGCCCGGCCACCTTTGTCTCTTGCCGCACCAGGTACCCATGTTAAGGCTGAGTCGACCTAAGTGAGGCCCAACGACCACCGATGTTCACAATTCGCCACGGGACGTGCGCGGAAATCGAGCTCGACACGCCCGGTTCGTAGCGCTAACCGCTGCGCCACCGCTCCCCGCTAACCCTCGGGAGATTTGGAAGCGGCCACTGCCCAGCTTGTCGTCACTGCTCGTGCCGGCTGTGTTTGGTTGGCCGGTAGCAGGGGATGCTTACATTTGCAAACAGGGTCACTGCTCACTGCTAGCCCCTGATCTCCAGCTGAGGATTTGAAAGTTGCCAGGACTTCTTGAAAAATGTGAAGAGAGTTGGTGGTGTTGGGGTACGGGGAGTTGGGGGGAGGGCGTCGAAAAAGGAAGACAAGGCTACATCATGTGTTCCCGATTACTGTCAAATTGCACTGCTCTTGCTGGAGGGAGCGGGGAGGGGCTGTTAGGAGGTGGGGAAGGCGAGTGTAAGTCTTGCTTTTTGTGTGTGTGTGCTTCTTTTAGCAGGGGCGCTGCGGTGGGCCGAGGAACGTGGGGATGGTGGGACGGTGGCACACACACACGCACACCCGTGAGCGTGTGGCTAAGCCCAGAGCGCCCGTGTGTCGAATGGCATTAGCCTATAAACGCAGTGGAGAAATCAGTGATATTTGCGGGCTTCTATCTCTGCGCGACCCTGCTGGGCCGTGAGAGCCGCTGCATTGGTGGTGCTTGCGGCGCTCGGGTCGGCTCGGTGGAGGATGAGGATTTTGACTTTAAACTTTCGTGACTGCAGGAATTCATATTCTTTGGTTCTTTCGGTAAAGTCACGTAGATCGAAAAATAAAAGCAAAATAAAGTGAATAAAATAAAAATACCACTTTCACTTTATTTTTACTATTATTTTTCTACCTGCGTGACTTTACCGAAAGAACCAGAGGATGAGGATGTTGATTCCCAACGGCAGTCATTTAAGTGACCTCCCCCCCCCCACCTCGTCCACCGTATCCCATTCACCGCCAAGCGCCCATCTCTCACTGCCACCCCCTACCCCCCCACCCCCTACCCCCCCTACCCCCCACCCCCACCCCCTACCCCCCACCCCCTACCCCCCTACCCCCCACCCCTACCCCCCCACCCCTACCCCCCCTACCCCCACCCCCCACCCCCTACCCCCCCTGGTGTGTGATTGACAGCTCGGGGCAGACGCCTCAAGTCGCAATAAATTGTAATGGCGGCGCAGAACGCGGTGGCTTTGATGTCTCCCCCACCCCCCCGCCCCGACACTTTACGGTTTGCGTCAAATCTTGATTTGAAGCTTTCGTGAATGCAGGAATCCATACTCGCTGGTTCTTTCGGTAAAGTCACGTAGATATAAATAAAAATAATAATAAAAAAGAAGAAGAACACGACGTTTTGGTCGCCACACAAGCACCAGCAGATAGATCACTCTTCCTCACCTGGTGACGGACGCTTGTGTTGCAACCGAAACGTCGTGTTCTTTTATTATTATTATTATGTTCTACCTACGTGACTTTAGCGAAAGAACCAGAGGGGTTTGCGTCAAGACGAGGCACGCGGGCGGCTCTGCCGAAATTCAGGTGTGGCGTTGTTGCAGACTATTTTTCTTGTTACTTGTTTTTTATACATATAAATCAAGGCGAGATGAGAAGCCGTCTCGTTTAACCGTCCATATGCGAGGCGCAGCACTGCAACTGTGTATGTATTTGGATTGTCAACCAACAACATGTGCACCTATTCATCTTCTTGGTTCTTTAGGTAAAGTCACGTAGAAGGGAAATAATAAAATAAATGAACATTTATTTATTATATTAAATATTATTATATTATATAATTTTATTATGTTGTATTTTTTATTATTTTATTATTTCCCTTCTACGTGATTTAACCGAAAGAACCAAGAAGATGAATCCCTGCAGTCACGAAAGCTTTAAATCGAAATGTGCACCTATTGTTCTCTTTTAGCCCCGCCCCCCCAACACCCCCCCAACACCCCCCAACACGTGCCATTCATTGGCTGCCACATTCAGATAAGCCCCTCCCCCCTCCTCCCCCCTAACTTGTATTTAAGAGCTTGTCTCTTGGAATGTTGCCTCACTTGATACAGTAAATTTAGCTGTGACGGTCCCACCTGATGACGGAGACTTGTGTTGCCTCCGAAACGTCGTGATTTATAATTTTATTTCTATTATTATTTCTTTTCTTTTCTTTTTATTATTTATTTTTTACCTACGTGACTTTACCGAAAAAACCTAAGAGTATGTGTATGCCACTTTGGTGATGTGCTTGTTCAATGGTTACGCTGCAATGATCCGAGGCATATATTATTACCCTTTGGCAAAAAATAAAACGGGCTCGAAATGAAATGTCAAGAATCGGATTTGAAATGTTTAGAAATGTATGAATCTTATTTATTGAAAATATATTTGCAAGGCATTTGTCAAGCCACTGCTGGATGGCCTCCCCCATTGTGCGTCAGTCATGGAGTTGTTTTCACCATACTTCACCACGCTGGTTCAGGAGAGATTCAGGTCTCTCGCCATTGATTTAATCCATGACTGAGAATCCAACTCATTTCGGCGACAAGGTGCCACCCAACCTTTCAAGGGGCTCACAGATGCAAACGTGTGATTCGAATACGTCACTCGCGATGCCTGCATAACATCGAATTGTATACTGCAGTTACTCGATGCGACACAATGCTCCACCGAGTAAGAATCATTATAATTTGTCCGGTTTGCCTGATACCGTCGATGCCCCTTGGCAATGCCGTCCAGAGCGTCAGGATGATGTTGCGATGTATGATGTGAGATAGGATGTCGAATAATGTTTTTTTTATTTAAAAAAACCGTCACCGATATGTTTATGGAATCACGACTGCAAGTCGTGGCAATTCATCGAATATTTAGGGGGCAGTGGGGGCGGCAAGGGGGGAGGGGGATGCGAATCGTTACTGGCCTCAACTTGTTCACACGCATTGTAGTTGAACTTGAACCTGACCGAGGCTGATTACGTGCTTCCTATGGGGACCTGATTTGCCAGTAAAAATATGATAATTGGTTCTTTACCCTTCTATCTGGCAACAAAACTGACACCTTTTTGCAAGGAGTCATGTTTGCATAGACCGCAATACCTGCAGTCATAATACAAACAAAATAACATAACTCTGATAATGTGCACTGTCCTTGAAGTTGATTGTTGCCAGATAGAAGGGTAAAGAACCAATTATCATACGTGCTTCCTATTAACGCTTCAGTTGACGGGGTGGGTATGGGGGGGGGGGGTAGAGAGGACGTCTCCTTCACAGCCGCCGAGTTGAAGGCGTGAGCCGGGTTGCCACGCCACCACAGGTGTCCCGCTTGGCCACAAAGAGGAGAAACCCCGTTCTGCCACAGCAAGCCCATGTTGAAAGTGCACCACGGGCGCGCACTGTGTGTGCGGGACCCACAAACACACGGGGTAACCCGAGATGCTTTAAGTTGAGGGAGCAAAAGAGCATCGGAGCTTTGTAACCCTGAACGGGCTGTATAATACCGCTTCAATTCAGAGAGGGCTTTGTGAAACGAGCCAGCCTCTATGTTTCATCACAGGCCTTTATGTATTTATGTGTGTGTACGTACTGAGTGTATGTGTGAGTGTGTATGCACTCATGGTGACACTCCACCCTCTCAACTCCCTACGAGTGATGGGGCAGTTGCGGAGAGAGTTGAGGAATTCCCATACCTGAGCAGTGTGCTTATAGCCAGCGCCGGTTTGGCAGCAGAGGTCTTACTCCGAATAAGTCG